GGCCGGACACGGCAGAACCGTGGAATAGTGGGCAAGGACTGGACCCCCAGAGGGGTCCGCCAGGGAGACCGGGACTGGCCGACGGAGCGGCGTGAGTGCGGTGCAGTCGCGAAAGAAGGAGCGGGAAGCTCCTGAGTCAAGGGTGAAGGTGTGCGAGACCGCAGTGGGCGTAGTACCAGAGAGAGCAGACACAGCAGCACCTGATGCCACGGCCTCACCAGTACCTAGAGCAGTAGACGTACTAGCACCAAGAGCAGCAGCCTCACCAGCACCTAGAGCAGGAGACGCACTAGCACCTAGGGCAGCAGCCTCACCAGGGTCAGGCGGTACGCACAGGCAACAGGCACGGTCAGCACTAGTAGACAATGCATACATGGCAGTGAGAATAGCATCATAGTCAAGCGCAAAGATATCTACCCTCTGTCTATGCAGCTCCAGCCAGGTGGGGAGCTCAGCCTCGTCGCCAAACACTGTGCGCCAGTCGTCGCTCAGACGGGCGAAGCAGCGGGACTGTGTGTGACCAAGCGTCCCACAAGGCTGACCAGTCCTAGCACCTGTGCGAATGACGTACGGGCAGCGGACTGTACGCGTAGACCTGCTACACTGAGCGTACCACTCCTGGAGCTGCCGGGGCGTAAGTGTCTCACGTGGACGTCCCTGCAGCTGCAGCTGGCCACTGCCAGACGCTCCCAACTGACCAGCTCCAGGGCGACAGCTACGACGGCTACCGCGACAACCCCAGCTAGTATACCACTCACTAAGCTGCTGAGGCGTCAGAGGCTCGCGTGAATGTCGCTGGAGCTGCATCTGGCCACCTGCCAGTAGCAGTAGCGCAGGCAAGGCAGGCGCGGCAGGCAGGCAAGCAAGCAGGCAGGCAGGCAGGCAGGCAGGCCGGCAGGTAGGCAGGCAGCCAGGCAGGCAGGCAGGCAGGCAGACAGGCAGGCAGGTAGGCAGGCAGGCAGGCAGGCAAGTAGACACGCAGGCAGACAGGCAGGCAGGCAGGCAGGCCGGCAGGCAGGCAGGCAGCCAGGCCGGCAGGCAGGCAGGCAGACAGGCAGGCAGGCAGGCAGGCAGGCAGGCGCTCACCAAAGGCTGGGAGAGCAGGGCCGGCGCTCGAGTAGGCGCACGACAGCGGCGACGTCGGGGCCGCAAAACCGGCTGCAGAGCAGGGCCGAAACAGCTGGAGGGCGGGGCCGCGTCAGCGGCAGTAGCAGGGTGGGGCCGCGTCAGCGGCAGGTCGGGGTCGTGGCAGCTGCAGGGCGGGGCCGCATCAGCGGCAGGTCGGGGCCATGGCAGCTGCTGGGCGGGGCCGCATCAGCGGCAGGTCGGGGCCGAGGCAAAGGGCCGCGCGCGGCCGCGCTAGGGAGTAGCGGGCCGCGCGCGGCTCGGCGCGGGCTGTTGCGGGCCGCGCGCGGGCCGTGCGAGGCAGGAGCAGGCCTCGCGCGGCTCGGCACGAGCTGCTGCGGGCCGCGCGCGGGCTGCGCGAGGCCGTAGCAGGCCGCGCGCGGCTCGACGCGGGCTGCGCGGGCTCGGCGCGGGCTGCGCGCGGTTGCAGCGGGCTGTGCGCGGTTGCAGCGGGCTGCGCGCGGTTGCAGCGGGCTGTGCGCGGCTCGGTGCAGGCTGCGCGCGGCTGCAGCGGGCTGCGCGCGGCTCGGTGCGGGCTGCGCGTGGCTGCAGCGGGCTGCGCGCGACTCGGGGCGGGCTGCGCGATCTCGGTGCGGGCAGCGCGCGGTAGCAGCGTGTGTGCGGGCCCGACAGGCGTGTAGAGGCGGCGCGCGGGCCTTACGGGCCTCTAGGGGCAGCGCGCAGGCAAGGCAAGGCAAGGCAAGGCATACAAGGCAAGGCAAGGCTACGTGGGGTAGCGCGGTAACCGCAGCGGTAGGTGGGCCCGAAAAAAAAAACGGTCCTACGGACCTTAGTGCTCTGAAACCATGTTAGAATCTAGCAGCAGGAATGGATGAACTAACAGGATGCAGGAGTACAAGTAGTAAACCCTTACTAGGTTGTACCCCATATGGGCTACCCCACTACAGCCTAGACAATATGCAGCACATATAGTTTGACAGATGATCCTAGGGAAGGGTTACAGGCACGTCGGCCTGGGGGGTTATGGGCGCACTCACCCGCTATATAAACAAGCCCTTTTATCCCAGTGGTTAGTGACTGGGATTCTGACACTCAGGGCAACTTTCCAGAATCTGAAAAAAAGCCCTGATTTGTCAGGGCAAATTTTCAAAGGCTTCCTGTAGTTTCAGGGCTTTTGCAGAAATTTATCCTAACCTGTCAGGGCTAAAAAACGAGTGTTCAGGGTTCTGTTTTTAGCACTTGTAGTGGGACCAGCATTAGCAAGCTTGTAGTCTTACTCCCTAGCAAGCATGGCACAAGGCGAGACAGGGGTGTTGCCTTGCCTAACCTGTTTCCGAATCTGATGGGTTTGGCTTGGCTGGTGCGACGCGGAGATTCGGAACGGAACTGCGGAAGAAATCGTGCAAAGGCGAGAAAATTCTCGGGGAAACCAAACCGCGGGGCAGAATTTCCCGGGGGAAAAAATTCCTCGGGAACGGGAAACCTTCTCCCCCCCATCCCCCCCTCCCCCCCCCCCCCCCCCCCCCCCCCCCCCCCCCCCCCCCCCCCCCCCCCCCCCCTTTAAAAAACGCGTCAGGGCAAGCCTCGACATTCATCCTGACGATCAGGCCCTCAGATTGGTTTGAGAGTATGCTGATGGTGTCAAACTGTATGTGCAGCATATTGTCTAGGCTGTAGTGGGGTAGCCCATATGGGGTACAACCAAATTAGGGTTAACTACTTGTACTCCTGCATCCTGCTAGTTCATTCATTCCTGCTGCTAGATTCTAACATGGTTTCAGAGCACTAAGGTCCGTAGGACCGTTTTTTTTTCGGGCCCACCTACCGCTGCGGTTACCGCGCTACCCCACGTACCTGCCTGCCTTGCCTTGCCTTGTGACGTGCTGCACAAGCGCTGCCTCCTGCTGCCCTAGGCCAGCGCGCTGCCCCTAGAGGCCCGTAAGGCCCGCGCGCCGCCTCTACACGCCCGTCAGGCCCGCAAACAGCCCGCTGCTGCCGCGCGCTGCCCGCACCGAGACCGCGCAGCCCGCACCGAGTCGCGCGCAGCCCGCTGCAGCCGCGCGCAGCCCGCACCGAGCCGCGCGCAGCCCGCTGCAGCCGCGCGCAGCCCGCACCGACCCGCGCGCAGCCCGCTGCAGCCGCGCGCAGCCCGCACCGAGCCGCGCGCAGCTCGCAGCTGCCGCGCGCAGCCCGCGCCGAGCCCACGCAGCCCGCGTCGAGCCGCGCGCGGCCTGCTACGGCCTCGCGAGGCCCGCGCGCGGCCCGCAGCAGCCCGCGCCGAGCCGCGCGCGGCCTGCTACTGCCTCGCACGGCCCGCGCGCGGCCCGCAACAGCCCGCGCCGAGCCGCGCGCGGCCCGCTACTGCCTAGCGCGGCCGCGCGCGGCCTGCAGCAGCTCCGCGCGCTGTCCGCGCAGCCCGCGCCGAGCCGCGCGCGGCCCTCTGCCTCGGCCCCGACCTGCCGCTGATGCGGCCCCGCCCTGCAGCTGCCACGGCCCCGACCTGCCGCTGATGCGGCCCCCCCCCCCCCCCCCCCCCCCCGCAGCTGCCACGGCCCCGACCTGCCGCTGATGCGGCCCCGCCCTGCAGCTGCCACGACCCCGACCTGCCGCTGACGCGGCCCCACCCTGCTACTGCCGCTGAAGCGGCCCCGCCCTGCAGCTGCTTCGGCCCTGCTCTGCAGCCGGTGTTGCGGCCCCGACGTCGCCGCTGTCGAGCGCCGGCCCTGCTCGCCCGGTGAGCGCCTGCTCTCCCAGCCTTTGGTGAGCGACTGCCTGCCTGCCTGACGGCCTGCCTGCCTGCCTGCCTGCCTGCCTGCCGGCCTGCCTGCCTGCCTGCGCGCCTGCCTGCCTGCCTGCCGGCCTACCTGCCTGCCTGCCGGCCTGCCTGTCTGTCTGCCTGCCTGCCTGCCTGCCTGCCTGCCTGTCTGCTTGCCTGCCTGCCTGCCTGCCTGCCTGGCTGCCTGCCTGCCTGCCGGCCTGCCTGCCTGCCTGCGTTCCTGCCTGCCTGCCTGCCTGCCTGCCTGCTTGCCTGCCTGCCTGCCACGCCTGCCCTGCCCGCGCTGCTGCTGCTGCTACTGCTACTGGCAGGTGGCCAGATGCAGCTCCAGCGACATTCACGCGAGCCTCTCACGCCCCAGCAGCTTAGTGAGTGGTATACTAGCTGGGGTTGTCGCGGTAGCCGTCGTAGCTGTCGCCCTGGGGCTGGTCAGTTGGGAGCGTCTGGCCCTGGTGTTGGTGTTGCCTGTGCGTACCGCCTGACCCTGGTGAGGCTGCTGCCCTAGGTGCTAGTGCGTCTCCTGCTCTAGGTGCTGGTGAGGCTGCTGCTCTCGGTGCTAGTACGTCTACTGCTCTAGGTGCTGGTGAGGCTGCGGCTCCAGGTGCTGGTGAGTCTGCTCTCTCTGGTACTGCGCCCACTGCGGTCTCGCACACCTTCACCCTTGACTCAGGAGCTTCCCGCTCCTTCTTTCGCGACTGCACCGCACTCACGCCGCTCCGTCGGCCAGTCCCGGTCTCCCTGGCAGACCCCTCTGGGGGTCCAGTCCTTGCCCACTACTCCACGGTTCTGCCGTGTCCGGCCGTCCCGTCCGGCTCGCTGTCAGGTCTTTACCTCCCCTCGTTCTCTACGAACTTGGTGAGTGGAGCTGACCTCCAGGATGGGGGGGGCTCACCTGTTCACTCCTGCGAGTCAGCGAGTGACTCACTGTACGTGTGCTAGGACGGGCCGGCACTTGGCCACGTTCACCCGTGCACCTGGCTCGAGTCTGTACACACTGACCACTAAGTCCCCTCAGGTAGCTGCGTCTGCGTCTACGTCTGGTCAGCTGGCGGCCCCCTGCGAGTGTCGCGCTTTGTCGCACGACACTCTCCTGTGGCACCACCGCCTTGGTCACCCCTCCTTGCCTCGCCTGCGTAGCATGCACTCTCGCTCCCTGGTCTCTGGTCTCCCCAGGTCTCTGCCTGCCCTCCCTCCCTCGCCTGCGCCGCCCTGCATTCCTTGCGTCGAGGGGCGGCAGCGCGCCGCTCCTCACTCCTCCTCGTTTCCTCCCACAGAGGCTCCACTGCAGACGCTCCACCTGGACGTGTGGGGCCCAGCCCGCGTCCAGGGACAGGGCCGCGAGCGGTACTTCCTGCTGGTTGTCGACGACTACACGCGTTACACCACGGTCTTCCCCTTGCGGAGCAAGGCGGATGTCCCTGCTGTTTTGATCCCCTGGATCCGCGCAGTTCGTCTCCAGCTCCGCGAGCGGTTCCGGTCGGACTTTCCTGTCCTGCGTCTGCACTCTGACAGAGGTGGTGAGTTCTCCTCCGACCTCTTGGCAGCCTACTGTGCGGAGCACGGCATCACCCAGTCGTTCACGCTTCCGGCCTCTCCGCAGCAGAATGGGGTTGCTGAGCGCCGCATTGGCTTAGTCATGGAGGTCGCTCGTACCTCCATGATCCATGCGGCTACCCCCCATTTTCTGTGGCCGTTTGCGGTCCGGTACGCCGCGCATCAGCTCAACCTCTGGCCCCGTGTCTCCTTGCCGGAGACCTCGCCCACACTGCTGTGGACGGGGAAGGTTGGCGATGCGTCGCGTTTCCGGGTCTGGGGTGCTCGTGCCTTTGTCCGCGATACCACCGCGGACAAGCTCTCCGCCCGCGCTGTTCCCTGTGTCTTCCTTGGCTTTGTCCCTGACGCGCCTGGTTGGCAGTTTTACCACCCCACCTCGCGCCGTGTCTTTGCGTCTCAGGACGTCACGTTCGACGAGTCGGTTCCCTTTTACCGTCTCTTCCCCTACCGCACTGCCTCGCTCCCCCCCCGCCGCTCTTCCTCGCTCCAGGTGCTCCCCAGGTAGACCCCCTCCCCGCTCCCGGTCCTGCTCCTTCAGGTGTTTCTCAGGTAGACCCTCCTCCCTTGACTGCGCCGGTTGAGGTCACTGGTGACTCAGGTCCTACTGAGAGTGGTCCTGCTCGGGGTGCTACTTCTGGGGGTGCTGAGCCTGGGGGTGCGGAGCCTGGGGGTGCTGAGCCTGGGGGTACTGAGCCTGAGGGTGCGGAGCTTGAGGGTGTAGAGCCTGGTGGTGCTGAGCCTGAGTGTGAGGGGTCTGGGGGTGCTGAGCTTGGCGGTACTGACGCTGGAGGTTCTGGAGCTACTGAGGGTGCTGGCGCTGGAGGTTCGGGAGCTGCTGGAGGGCCTAGTCCTGGTGGCGCTGGAGCTGGAGGTTCTGGAGCTGCTGAGGGTGCTCGCGCTGGAGGTTCTGGAGCCGCTGGAGGTACTGGTGCTGAGGGTACTGACACCGGAGGTTCTGGAGCCGTTGGGGGTGCGGGCGCTGAGGGTTCTGAGTCTGCTGTTGCGCGGTCTCCTTGGATCAGCGTGCCCTGGCCAACGAGGTGTCCAAATCAGCGTTCACGGATTTTTTTTTACTGATTTTGCCAGTGTGAAAATCATAAGTAAACTGAACCAACAGTGTAAAAAAAAAACTAACAGCTGAAACACTAGTGCAAGGTGTGTGCTGTTGTTACTGTGATACCGTAGGTTCCAGCGAGGCGAAAGATATCAGGTCCACACACTTCGGAGCGCACCTGATACAGTATCTGCGTAGCATATGCGAAGTGTGTGGGTTTCGTGACACGGAAAGGTATAGTCTGTACATGTGTACCTTACCCCCCCCCCCCCCGCGCGGTCAAGTCCGTTTCAGGGTGACGCACTGAAGTATGCTGATTCGTCAGTGTTACTTGTTTAGAAACACACATTATCGTCAGTGTGGCAAAATCACATATACTGAAATTTCAGCCCATAATGGAAGCATTTACTGATTTTTCAGGGAAAACGAAATTCAGAGCTACAAAATCAGCGTAATCAGCGTGTTTTACGCTGATATCTGAGGCCCTGCTGACGATACAGGGAAGAACACCACAGCCATTCTGAATTTCCAGGGCATTTCATATAACATCATCCTGAGACCACAGGCAGGGCTCTGGTTAGGATTTGAGCCTCTCTTTCGCGTAAGGCCAATGCTCTGTCTTCACTCTTTCTGAAAGGGTACCTGGCAGAAACACTCTTTCCTAGCAGGGTGCAAACTTTGCGTACAATTTATCTTCATTTGCTATACTTACAGTGTCCTGTGTTGGAGTGAGATTTTGTGTGAGTTTGATGCTGAGGATGCAGGTTCGATACTCGATGTAGGTAGATTCTGTTGTAGGGCTTGTCATATTGTGTTTTACCAGGGAAAATGTAACATTCCTGTTAAGAGCGGACTCTGTTTCGTCAGTGTGTCTACACCTCTTAAGTCTGAAATATCAGTGTCCTAGAACGAAACACTTTTTCTTGTAAGGGTCTAGAATTGAACCACTCTGAAAGAAAAGGGTGCATAATGAAAACCAGCCTTATAGTAAGTGTCATAAGGGTGATTCACCCTGTTAACCAGAGGCCTGACCACAGGGTTAAAAGTGAGACTATTCTGAAATTACAGGGCAAATTCAAATCTGCATCCTGAAATCAGGGTAATCAGGATGTTTTGCCCTGATATCGTGGGGCCTGGTGAGAGTCACCGCTTGCACTGAGGGGTTCAGCGTGGCATGCCTCATGGCTGCTGCTGCTGCTGCCCATACCTGCTGCTCGTGCCTGGTGCGGCGGATGGCATGAGACACACACATGGATAAGCCATGTGAGAGAAGAAGTGAGAGTCAGCGCTTGCACTGAGGGGTTCAGCGTGGCATGCCTCATGGCTGTGTCAAACTTATACAACATTGTTTGTGTAGGCTTTTGTGGGTTAGACTCTATTGGGTATAGGTTTTGTTACTTGTACCTCCCTCCCTTCTAGTCCATCCATCTTTTCTCGCTTTCACATGGTATAGAGCATGTTCCCCTAGTGGGGAAGTTCCTACCTTGGGCCCACCGTTTTGACTTTCTTTTTAGCCTGCCCGAAGCGCGCTTTGCGCCCTGCCCAGAAAGTTCGCGGCCCCTTAGAGGCTTGCCTCTTAAAGGCCCTTCGCGGCCCCCCTTAAAGGCCCGTCGCGGCCCCTTCGTGGCCCCTTCGCGGCCCCTTCGCGGCTCGTCGCCGCCCCTTCGCGGCCCCTTCGCGGCTCATCGCCGCCCCTTCGCGCCCCCCCCTTCTCACAGCCGCCCCTGCAGCAGCCGCCCCTGGCCCCTGGAGCAGCCGCCCCTGCAGCAGCCGCCCCTGCCCCTGGAGCAGCCGCCCCTGCAGCAGCCGCCCTTGCAGCAGCCGCCCCTTGACCTTCTTCGCCGCCTCTGCAGCCGGTTCCTGTTGACTCTGGTGCTGTTGGGGGTGGTGCTCCTGGAGGTGCTGCGTCTGGGGGTGCGGAGTCTAGGGATGCTGAGCCTGCGCGTGAGGAGACTGGAGGTCCTGCGCCTGGGGGTGCTGTGTCTGGGGGTACTGAGCCTGTGTGTACGGAGTCTGGAGGTAGTGAGTCTGGAGGTGAGACGCTTGAGGGCACTGGGACTGCTGGTGCGCGGCCTACTTGGAGTGGCCGCCTTCGTCCGCGTGTGCCTCTCACCCCTCAGCAGCTGCACGACTGGTACGGTCGCCGTCTGCGTCGCGCTGTTGGAGCCCGGGGCTCTGCTGCTGGAGGTGCTGGAGCTGCTGGGGCTGGGGGTGCTGCGCCTGGAGGCGCCGTTCCTGGGGACACTGAGACTGGCGACCCTGGGACTGGAGGTACTGGTTCTGGGGGTGCTGCTGCGGGAGACACTGCGGTTGGAGGCCCTGGGACTGGAGGTACTGGTCCTGGGGGTGCTGCTGCGGGAGACACTGCGGTTGGAGACCCTGGGACTGGAGGTGCTAGTTCTGGGGGTGCTGCTGCGGGAGACCCTGCGGTTGGAGACCCTGGGACTGGAGGTGCCGGTTCTGGGGGTGCTGCTACTGGTGACGCTCAGTCTTGAGGTGCTGGCGCTGGGGGTACCGGTTCTTCGACTGGAGCTTCTGGAGATACTGGAGGTGCTGGAGCGGCTGGAGGCGCTGGAGCTGCTGGAGGTGCTGGAGCTGCTGGTACTGGTGCAGCTGCGCCGACACGACTGTTCTTCGCTCCGCCGTCTCCGTCGTCTCTGCCGCCGCCTGACTCTGCTCTTCGTCAGGTTGTTACTCTCCCGTCGTCTACTGGTCTTCCGTTACAGACTGGCTCACCGCTACCTGCTCCCTCTCCTTACACTGAGCAGACAGGCAGTCCTGCTGAGCGTCGTGAGCCTGCGTCGCGTCCTGTCTCGCCTGTTCATTCTGGTCGTACCGTTCGTCGTGTTCCTCGTTTGCGTCAGCCGGCTGTCCCCAGCGCACACCTTGTTGTCCGTCGTCCTTCCTCTGCTCCGCAGCCTGTTCCTCTGCCGTCTCCCCCTGCGTCCTCTCTGCCTGCCGTTCCGGACCCTGAGTCTAACCGGTTTCGTGCTGAGCACCCTACCGTCACGCGTCTGCTAGCCACTGTTGTCATTGACCCGTCGTTTGAGTCTACTGCTGCGTCTGCCTTGGTCGCTGAGCTTGTTGACTTTGCTGCTGCCTGTCGTCTAGACTACGCCGCTAGTCTTGTTGCTGAGTCTGAGTCTGTCTGTCCTCCGTCCGTCGGGGGTGAGTGTGCTCTTAGCACGGACGTCCTTGAGGACAGACAGGAGGAGTTCCAGTGTCTTGCTGCTGCTTTACCTCATCTTGTGTCCTCGCTACTTGCCCCTGAGGGAGACCCGGATGCACCAGACATCCCGACTCCGCGCTCTTACGCGGAGGCGATAGAGGGTCCCTACTCCTCTCAGTGGCAGGCAACCATGGACGCAGAGATGGCTTCCTGGAAGTCCACAAGCACCTACGTTGACGAGGTTCCCCCACTTGGGGCGAACATCGTCAGTGGCATGTGGATTTTCAGGGTGAAGCGGCCGCCGGGTTCTTCGCCTGTCTTCAAGGCGCGTTACGTGGCTTGAGGCTTCAGTCAGCGGCAGGGAGTTGACTACTTTCAGACCTTCTCTCCCACCCCGAAGATGGAAGTCCGAGCTGCAGAAGCGACACACGTGCACAGACCTAGGTGAACTGCGCAGCTACCTCGGCTTGCAGATCACCCGGGACAGAGCACGGCGCACCATTACACTGTCTCAGTCACACATGGTGCAGCAGGTCCTTCAGCGCTTCGACTTCACGTACTCCTCGCCTCAGGCCACTCCTCTGGCTACAGGTCACTCGCTCTTCCTTCGGATGAGTCCGTAGAGCCGAGTGGCCCGTACCCAGAGCTTGTTGGCTGCCTCATGTACCTGATGACCTGCACGCGACCTGACCTTGCATACCCTCTTAGCATCTTGGCACGCTATGTTGCTCCTGGGAGACACCGACCAGAGCACATGGCTGCAGCGAAGAGGGTGTTGCGCTACTTGTGCAGTACGTCGGGCATGGGGCTAGTGCTTGGAGGGCAGAGTCCAGTGGTCCTCACTGGTCACGCAGACGCGTCTTGGGTTGACGACCTGGCTACACAGCGGTCGTCACAGGGTTACACCTTCAGCCTTGGTTCCAGCTCTGTTTCGTGGCGGTCTACCCGCTCGTCGTCTGTTCTCAGCTCCAGCTGTGAGGCTGAGATCTACGCAGGAGCCATGGCTGCACAGGAGTTACGCTGGCTCACCTACCTGCTAACTGACTTGGGAGAGCCGCCTCGTTCTCCTCCAGTTCTGTACGTAGACAACAAGGCCATGCTGGCCTTGTGTCGGGAGCACAGACTGGAGCACAGAACGAAGCACATTGCTCTTCGCTACTTTCTTGCTCGTGAGCTGCAGCAGCGTGGTCAGCTGCGCCTTGCTTACGTGGCCACTTGGGCCAACACTGCTGATATCTTCACCAAGGCACTTCCGCCTTGTGATCATCAGCGCTTCTGTACGATGCTAGGTCTTGTGCCCACCTGCCTCAATTGCTCACTTCATGACCTTGCTTGTACTGTGGTTTATATATACATGCTCTTGCTTGTTTACCTTTATATATAATCCTGCATGTGAACTGGCCTTGTGGCCTTGACCTTGTACTCAGATTTGTGGTGACGTTGTGATCCACTCTGAGCTTGCTTTGCTTGACTGGTCTTGTGGCCTTTAGGTCTTCCCCACTTTGCCTATGGGGGTGTGTCAAACTTATACACTACACATTGTTTGTATAGGCTTTAGTGGGTTAGACTCTATAGGGTATAGGTTTTGTTACTTGTACCTCCCTCCCTTCTAGTCCATCCATCTTTTCTCACTTTCACAGGCTGCTGCTGCTGCTGCCCATACCTGCTGCTCGTGCCTGGTGCGGCAGATGGCATTGGACATAGGTACGCACAGGGAGAAGGCACAAGAGAAAATGCTGAGACCCGTGCCACATCCCCTTTTCTCAGGCCTCCCCTTCAGGCTCATCGCTTGTGGCAGCGCAGCACAGCTACGGTTGTTTTTAGACGTCTCAAAACAACTCTTTTATCACGTGC